ATATCATATAGAATGCCTAGCCGTTGGATATCGAGAAGACACAGGAAACTTGCTAGAGAGCTACCATGTGATTGGGTGTTGTGATTTGGAATGTTGAAGGTAAGATTAAATTAAGCAGAACACTGTTAACTTCTTTTGTATTGATTCACCTAAAACTCTTGTTTCAATTCTAATGACTTGCCATAATGTTAAATTACGATAGTGATAGTAAGAAGCTTTCTCGACTGAATTTACAAGATCAATTCCTCTTAGTGATATTTAACCCCCTGCTCACGTACCTCGGCAGCGCGGACCTAGTACGTGGACAAGCAGAAGCACCCCATCCACTTGACTTGTCCAAGGGCGTCTGACCTTTTCATCCCTCTTCCCTGAACTTAAAATAAACATGTCTTGAGATTTCTTCAATAATATTGAATAAAAAGAAAATTAAGTTAACTCTTCTCCTATGATGTTCAATTAGGGACAACATTAGGCAAGCCATTTTGGAAGGAAAAGGACTCTGGTCAGTGTCCTTTTTTGGTGCACTTTCTTGATGCCATGCAGTACTCAATCGATGACTGATCAACCGATAATCATGTAACTTGCTTCTTTCTTGTCATGGTTAGATAGTTGTCTGCCAGCGCAATGTCGGTAGAAGTTTGATGGATTCCCAAACAGGAAATTGTAGCCCAAAAGAAACACCAGCCTTAGAAGAAGAATAAAATACTTCTGCTGGATTGATGAACTAGAATTACATGACTCAATTCTGTGTTGCATAATATAAAAAACTGTACCAACAAGAATGTACCCGAACAACATTAGCCTTAGGACAGGAAGAATAAATAACTTCTGCCGATTGATGCTAATTGGACATTAAACTAACGTCATAACTTTCTGTTTTGGATAATATAAAACTTGTTGGATGCCATGTTTGATTTTTCATGAGTTGCTTGAAACTACATGAACTTCATATGCGTTTTTCATGTGCTTTGGAGACAAGTCAATGAGAGGGAAGACAAATCGGTAAGATTTTGGAAACTAACGGAGTCACAATAGGATATGATGTGATATGATAAAGGATGTGTTCAGAGAGCATATTAAGAGAGCTAGTCGCTCAGGAAATCTAAATTCCAACACGCCCTAAAAGCTCTTGCATGATTCATAGTGAAATTGATAGCGAATTTTATATAATTCCACGGGAACATCAGGTCTGGCTCGTTTACCACAGTTGCCACGGCTGTAACTCACCTGCATGTTCGACACTGTCATACATTCTCCCGTATTAATATTCCTCAGTCTATGCGTCGCGAACCTCGAATATTCAACCGCTTACTAACAGATGCTGTCTTTTAATGCATCGCTTCTTGTCTAAGTCCCGAGATATATTCAAGAATCTGAGCTCGCCTTTATTTATATTTTTTAGGTTTTTGTCCAGGTATAGTTTAAGGTCGAGAAGGTATTTTTGTCAATCTTCTTTCTTCTTGAACACTATTCGCGTCGAATCACCTCTCATGGTGATGTTTAAAGACATGACCGGGCGGTCGCCCATGGATCCGTCTGTGAGTCAAAGTATTTAATTGGGTTTTTTTTTATATTCTTATTTAGTTTTAACATTAGCTTTTAGAAATCAAAAAGTAGGTATATCCTATAGTTGGTTTAGGAGTCTTTAATTTCTATGCTCTTGTAATGCTTATAACATTCAGATAGAGTTCATATGTGTTAGAGAAGTTTTTAGAGCTTTCTGAAGACTTCTTATGGATATATGTGATGCAAGGGATTTAGGAGGACTCTTAGACCTATCTTCTATATTTCCTTCTTTTCTTTCTTGTTTAGATTTCAGCACTAATAACACAGCCCCCCGCAATTGCCTTACAGCGCTTTCTTCTGTCCCTCATTTGTCCATACTATTCAACATGTATGCACTAGTAAACTAATGATCGATAATGCAAACAAGTTTTTTCGGGGTTTTTTTAAAAGGTGAACCTAGTGATTTTTATTATTGTATTTTCCCATTAGGGATATGTGACCACTGGCGTGGTCCTGTTATTCACTTTTCATGTCTCGAGTAGCTTCAGTTATTCATTTAGAGTGAATTTTGTGACAAATTATCGAGATCAAACAGAATCAAGAAACAGTCGAGCCTCATTTTTAAGTATAACACTTGTACGCTTTGACAAAAGAGAAGAGAGGGTAATACTAATTCAGAGGTATAGAAAGACAGCTCTTAACAATCGAAGAAGGTTAAATAAGTTGAATAGAAACTGATTGTATATGAAATGATACTTTTTGTAAACCTGAAATACAAATGAGGTGGTAGTTATAATTTGCACGGCTGAATAAACCAAAGTACTAGGCCTCGATTTTATACGATTTTCACAGAGGGACCAAAAGAATGGGCTGATGGTTGCTACTCATTAAAAAAGAGGAAGAATAAAAATTTTTGTCATCTGATTCCTTTGACTTTCTTAATGTGTTATGTATATTATTGTTGTTTTATAAATGATTATTATTAGCATACTAACAAACTAAAAAACAACTGAAAAGCTCCAAAATAGTTGCTATTGGCTTATCCAAAGCATCACAGTGCTTTACACTTTACTTGTTATTGTACGGGTACTTGTGATAGTCCCAACTGGCAAGGATTTTCAAACCCTTGAAGCTGATGGGAAAAATCATCATTTTGCAACTGCTTTCTGGGGTAGATCCTAGAGGTTCTCCCACATTGAGCGTAAGTG